TGCAGAGGTGCTCAGAATACAACAGTTTAGAAGCATACACATATAAATATACACAACATATCCCTCCAAACTGCCAATATCCCAAACCCCTCCTTTAAAGTGCAGGCATTGTACTTCCCATTTCCAGGACTCAAGTCCGACTATATGAAAATAACCGGTTTCCCTGAATCCCTTCACTAAATATTACCCTGCTCACACTCCAACAGATCGTCATGTCCCAAGTACCATTCGTCTCCATTCACTCCTATCTAACACGCTCACGCACGCTTGCTAGAAGTCCAAGCCCCTTGCCCACAAAACCTCCTTTACCCCCTCTCTCCAACCCTTTTGAGGATGACCCCTACCCCGCCTTCCTTCCCCTATAGATTTATATGCTTTCCATGTCATTCTACTTTGATCCATTCTCTCTAAATGACCAAACCACCTCAACAACCCCTCTTCTGCCCTCTGACTAATACTTTTATTAACTCCACACTTTTTTTTTTTTTTTTTTTTTTTCAACAAGTCGGTCGTCTCCCACCAAGGCAGGGTGACCCAAAAAAAGAAAGAAAATCCCCAAAAAGAAAATACTTTCATCATCATTCAACGCTTTCACCACACTCACACATTATCACTGCTTTTGCAGAGGTGCTCAGAATACAACAGTTTAGAAGCATATACGTATAAAGATACACAACATATCCCTCCAAACTGCCAATATCCCAAACCCCTCCTTTAAAGTGCAGGCATTGTACTTCCCATTTCCAGGACTCAAGTCCGACTATATGAAAATAACCGGTTTCCCTGAATCCCTTCACTAAATATTACCCTGCTCACACTCCAACACACCTTTTCCTAATTTCCACACTCCGAATTTTCTGATAATATTTACACCACACTTGCCTTAAACGGGACATCTCCACTGCCTCCAACCTTCTCCTTGCTGCTGCATTTACCACCCAAGTTTCACACCCATATATAAGTGTGTTGGTACTGCTATACTTTCATACATTCCCTTCACTTTTTTTCCCTCATCAATTCTATGATTAACCTCATCCTTCATAAATCCATCCGCCGACACGTCAACTCCCAAGTATCTGAAAACATTCACTTCTTCCATACTCCTCCTCCCCAATTTGATATCCAATTTTTCTTTATCTAAATCATTTGACACCCTCATCACCTTACTCTTTTCTATGTTCACTTTCAACTTTCTACCTTTACACACATTCCCAAACTCATCCACTAACCTTTGCAATTTTTCTTTAGAATCTCCCATAAGCACAGTATCATCAGCAAAAAGTAACTGTCAATTCCCATTTTGAATTTATTCCCCAAAATTTAATCCCACCCCTCTCCCGAACACCCTAGCATTTACTTCCTTTACAACCTCATCTATAAATATATTAAACAACCATGGTGACATTACACATCCCTGTCTAAGACCTACTTTTACCGGGAAGTAGTCTCCCTCTCTTCTACACACCCTAACCTGAGCCTCACTATCCTCATAAAAACTCTTTACAGCATTTAGTAACTTACCACCTATTCCATATACTTGCAACATCTGCCACATTGCTCCTCTATCCACTCTATCATATGCCTTTTCTAAATCCATAAATGCAATAAAAACTTCCCTACCTTTATCTAAATACTGTTCACATATATGCTTCAATGTAAACACTTGATCTACACATCCCCTACCCACTCTGAAACCTCCTTGCTCATCCGCAATCCTACATTCTGTCTTACCTCTAATTCTTTCAATTATAACCCTACGTACACTTTTCCTGGTATACTCAGTAAACTTATTCCTCTATAAATTTTACAGTCTCTTTTGTCCCCTTTCCCTTTATATAAAGGGACTATACATGCTCTCTGCCAATCCCTAGGTACCTTCCCCTCTTTCATACATTTATTAAACAAAAGTACCAACCACTCCAACATTATATCCCCCCCTGCTTTTAACATTTCTGTCATGATCCCATCAGTTCCAGCTGCTTTACCCCCTTTCATTTTACGTAAAGCCCCACGTACCTCCCCCACACTTACATTCTGCTCTTCTTCACTCCTAAAAGATGGTATACCTCCCTGACCAGTGCATGAAATTACTGCCTCTGTTTCTTCCTTAACATTTAAAAGTTCCTCAAAATATTCTCGCCATCTACCTAATACCTCCATCTCCCCATCTACTAACTCCCCTACTCTGTTTTTAACTGACAAATCCATACTTTCCCTAGGCTTTCTTAACTTGTTTAACTCACTCCAAAATTTTTTCTTATTTTCATTCAAATTTCTTGAAGTGCCTCTCCCACTCTATCATCTGCTCTCCTTTTGCACTCTCTCACCACTCTCTTTACCTTTCTTTTACTCTCCATATACTCTGCTCTTCTTATAACACTTCTGCTTTGTAAAAACCTCTCATAAGCTACCTTTTCTCTTTTATCACACCCTTTACTTCATCATTCCACCAATCACTCCTCTTTCCTCCTGCCCCCACCCTCCTATAACCACAAACTTCTGCCCCACATTCTAATACTGCATTTTTAAAACTATTCCAACCCTCTTCAACCCCCCCACTACTCATCTTTGCACTAGCCCACCTTTCTGCCAATAGTCGCTTATATCTCACCCGAACTTCCTCCTCCCTTAGTTTATACACTTTCACCTCCCTCTTACTTGTTGTTGCCACCTTCCTCTTTTCCCCATCTACCTCTTACTCTAACTGTAGCTACAACTAAATAATGATCTGATATATCAGTTGCCCCTCTATAAACATGTACATCCTGGAGCCTACCCATCAACCTTTTATCCACCAATACAAATCTAATAAACTACTTTCATTACGTGCTACATCATACCTTGTATATTTATTTATCCTCTTTTTCATAAAGTATGTATTACTTATTACCAAATCTCTTTCTACACATAGCTCAATTAAAGGCTCCCCATTACATTTACCCCTGGCACCCCAAATTTACCTACTACTCCCTCCATAACATTTTTACCCACTTTAGCATTGAAATCCCCAACCACCATTACTCTCACACTTGATTCAAAACTCCCCACACATTCGCTCAACATTTCCCAAAATCTCTCACTCCTCTACACTTCTCTCTTCTCCAGGTGCATACACGCTTATTATAACCCACTTTTCACATCCAATCTTTATTTTACTCCACATAATCCTTGAATTAATACATATTAATTATTATTATTATTATTATTATTATTAATATTATTATTATTATATAATATTATATTATTATATATTATATTATTAATATTATTATTATTATTATATTATTTTCTCAGTTGTTTGTTGGGTTATCCTATTCAAACTTAGGCAATATATGATGGAAAGATAATTCTTAACGTACACCAAAAATTAAAGAAATCAGACAATAAATAGCGGAGTTCACTTCTCAGCCATTAGCGGCCGCTTAGCGGTATATTTTTGTATGTTTTTTATGGTTATATTCTCATTTTTTCGGTCTCATTTGACAGAATGAACAATATATTACAGAAATAGATATGATTTTGATTGCTTTCATGACGAAAAGTACCTTGAAATTGCGCTCACAGTAGCGAAAATGTTCTATTCTTTAGCGAATCTCAAGAGTAAACAAATGACGTCACTGTCCAATACCTGTCTGCCTGCCAGTCCAAATTCCAATACGGAGTCAAGAATGGGTTGACATTATTTACACAATTATTACAATAATGCAGCAGTCTTCATAACATTAAATTTTCTATTTTTTTGTGAATAAAAATTCCAAATGGAGAGCATGAGTAATATAAGAGGGGCCTGTAGCCGTGACTAATGAACAGAGAAAATGTTATTTTAGTGCCAGGAATGTCTGCATTGTTTATTCTGGACCCTATTTTGAAATTGGCATCTGTTGAAATTTGTGTGAATTCGGCCAAATTGCCAATTTGACCGCTTTATTGGGTAGTTGAAATAAGTGAATGGGCAGTTTCCTGTACTCAGTTGACAGACTAGAAGTAAATAAGTTTATTCAGGTATACACAAATACAGTTACATAGATTATCATACATAGCAGTGTATGTATAGAGAACCTAGGATAACCCAGAAAAGTCAAAGTGACTTATTTCCAGTACCTGGCTTAGGCTTGCCATATATGATTTTTGGTAAATATTTTTTTTTCTCGGTTGTTTGTTGGGCTATCTTATTGAAACTTGGGCAATGTATGATGGAAAGATGCTTCTTAACGTACAACAAAAATAAAAAAGACTGATGATAAATAAGGGAGTTCACTTCTCAGCCATTAGCCGCCTCTTTGCAGTATATTTTCGTATGGTTTTTATGGTTGTATTCTCATTTTTCTGGACTCATTTGATATAATGGAAGATATATTACAGAAATAGACATGATTTTGATTGCTTTCATGACCAAAAGTACCTTGAAATTGAGCTCAAAGTAGCATAAATGTTTGATTTTTGCTGATGTTCAATGAACTGTGCAAGTCAAATTGGCTAATTTTTATTAAGTGTATTCTAACCTAACCACTCTGTAATCCAGCAAACTCAGTAATCCGGCAAACTCAGTAATCCGGCAAACTCAGTAATCTGGCAAACTCAGTAACCCGGCAAACTCAGTAATCCGGCAAACTCAGTAACCCGGCAAACTCAGTAATCCGGCAAACTCAGTAATCCAGCACACTACAGGTCCCAATGATGCCGGATTTGTGATGGAGGACCTGTACTTCATTTTGAAGTGCTTGCAACAAAGAATCATTCTAAAATTATCACCCATAAACAAAGTTGCCATCACAATACAAGAGGCTATCCTGCCCCTACAATATTTTATTATAAATGCAGAAAATAGTAGTAGACTCCAAAGAAAACCCACCATGAGGCTACTTTTCCCAAGATCTATATTATGAACATTAAACTAGAATTCAAATTTAAACTCTATACAGGAAACTACTCCAAAATTAATATTCTGAATGAAAATATAGTGTAAAAATCTAAGTGAGAAATAAAATAGCAGTAGTTACCCTGCTGTTGCCCAGGATGATAGAGAGCACTTCCCCCATCATCTGGTCTTCTGACAGAGGTTTGTCAATAACACGAACCCCAGAGAAGATTTCATTGTGGTTCACAAGCTGTAAAGTAAGAAAACTTGATAAAAAATAATAAGTGCATCAGCCAGATTGTTATAGCTGACATTGCATAGCTTAAGGTTTTAAGATTTAAGTTTTTTTTTTTTTTTTTTTTCAACAAGTCGGCCGTCTCCCACCAAGGCAGGGTGACCCAAAAAAGAAAGAAAATCCCCAAAAAGAAAATACTTTCATCATCATTCAACACTTTCACCACACTCGCACATTATCACTGTTTTTGCAGAGGTGCTCAGAATACAACAGTTTAGAAGCATACACATATAAAGATACACAACATATCCCTCCAAACTGCCAATATCCCAAGCCCTTCCTTTAAAGTGCAGGCATTGTACTTCCCATTTCCAGGACTCAAGTCCGACTATATGAAAATAACCGGTTTCCCTGAATCCCTTCACTAAATATTACCCTGCTCACACTCCAACAGATCATCAGGTCCCAAGTACCATTTGTCTCCATTCACTCCTATCTAACACACTCATGCACGCTTGCAAGATTTAAGTATTGAACATAAAAATAGGATTTTTTTTTATATCTTCTTTAGGAAAAAAAAAAAAAAAGACCATCCCCCCAATACCACCAATCTGATGACATTCTCCTTTGCAAATATACAGGGTCTAATATACAGACTCAGCAGACGATGCAACATCCCCCCAATGAAAAACAGAAGTGCCACTAGCACAATAAGAGGCAACACAGTAAGTGTCAGGGGCCCAAGACTGTTCAACTGCCTCCCAGCATACATAAGGGGAATTACTAATAGACCCCTGGCTGTCTTCAAACAGGCACTGGACAAGCACCTAAAGTCAGTACCTGACCAGCCGGGCTGTGGCTTGTATGTCAGTTTGAGTATGGCCAACAGTAACAGCCTGGTTGATCAGGCCCTGATCCATCATGAGGCCTGGTCACAGACCAGGCCGTGTGGGTATTGACCCCAAGAACCCTCTCCAGGTATACTCCAGGTAGATGGTAGACAGCAACCTCCCAGGGAGGTACTACCGTACTGCCAAGCGAGTGTAAAGCGGAAGCCTGTATTTGTTTTACATGATGGTAGGATTGCTGGTGTCTTTTTTGTCTCATAAACATGCAAAATTTCAGGTACATCTTGCTACTTCTACTTACACTTTGGTCACAATACACATGCATGTACACGTTTATGTATACACACACATCTGAGTTTTCTTTGATTTTATCTTAATAGTTCTTGTTATTACATTTCCTTTCATATCCATGGAGAAGTGGAATAAGAATCTTTCCTCCGTAAGCCATGCATGTCGTTAAAATCAACTAAAATGCTGGGAGCAATGGGCTAGTAACCCCCTTTCCCATATAATTTACTAAAAAGAAAATGAAGAATAAAATCGTCGAAGTGGGATGTTTGAATGCGCATGGATGTAGTGCTAGTGATAATAAAGAGATGATTGTGGATGTTATGAATGAAAAGCATCTGGATGTCCTGGCTCTAAGTGAAACAAAGCTGAAGGAGGTAGAAGAGTTTCAGTAGGAAGAAATAAATGCGATTAGGTCAGGGGTTCTAATAGTTAGAGCTAAGGAAGGAGTAGCAATAATGTTGAAGGATAAGTTATGGAAGGAAAAGAGGGAATATAAACATGCAAATTCAAGGATTATGTGGAGTAAAATAAAGGTTGGATGTGAAAAGTGGGTTATAATAAGTGTGTATGCACATGGAGAAGAGAGAAGTGTAGAGAGAGAGAGATTTTGGGAAATGTTGAGTGAGTGCATGGGAAGTTTAGAACCAAGTGAGAGAGTACTTGTGGTTGGGGATCTCAATGCTAAAGTGGGTAAAAATTTTGTGGAGGGAGTAGAAGGTAAATTTGGGGTGCCAGAGGTAAATGAAAATGGGGAGCCTTTAATTATGTGTATAAAGAGATTTAGTAATAAGTAATATATATTTTATGAAAAAGAGGATAAATAAGTATACAAGGTATGATATAGCATGTAATGATGGATAAAAGGTTGATAGGTAGGCTTCAGGGTGTACATGTTTACAGAGAAGCAATGGATATCTTGATCATTATTTACCTATAGCCATAGTTAGAGTAAGAGGCAGATGGGACAAAAGGAAAATGGCAATAGCAAGAGAGAGGGAGGTGAAAGTTTATAAACTAAGGGAGGAGGAAGTAAGGGCGAGATATAAGCAACTATTGGCAGAAAGGTGGGCTGTGAAGAAAGATGAATTTGTCGCCTTCATGGTGCAATGAGACTGCAATGTATGTGCAACTCATAAATGAATGCTATCATAACTCACAAAATCGTAATGACACGATTGCAAACTATACCATGGGCAGGGATAGAACCTATGGTCAGTCTCATAAAACTCCAGACCGACGTGTTAGCCACTGGGAGGGTTCTATCCCTGCCCATTGAGTGGTTTGTTTGCAATCATGTCATTACAATTTTGTGAGTCATGATGACGGCTTTGAGGGGACATGAGCTAGTTCTTCATGGACATGCTGGCAGGAGATTTGTCTGTAAAAACTTGCATTTTGTGGTCACAGTGATGCCCATGCCAACCTTCCTATGGTGTATAAATATGCATAGTTGGATGAATCTTATTGTAGCCAGCTGGCCCAGTGGCTAACACGTCGGTCTAGGGTTTTACGAGACTTACCATGGGTTCTACCCCTACCCGTGGTATGGTTTGAATGCTATCATATCCATCACCAGAAGAACCACAGGGAAGAGACAAGAACTGGAACACTAATCCACAGACACATTCGATACATGTGTCAATGAAACAGGGAAGGTGGAAACAGATTTGAAGCTTGTTTTATTGTTAGCTGGTAGGAAGTGAACTTCATATTTATATGCATTAAGGATTGTACAAAAATGTTTTCCAATACACTGCAGCATCATGTTTTTATAACATATACCATAAAGATTCTCCATGGGGAAGTGGAGAATTCTTCCTCCATAAGCTATGCGTGGTGTTAGGGGCTAGTAACCCCTTATGTATAAATTACTAAATGTAAAAAGAAAAACACATCCACTTTTTTTTTTTTTTTTTTGGGTCACCCTGCCTTGGTGGAAAAAGGCTTAAGCATAAAATAAAAAGATGAGCTGAACTAAATTCTTTAGAGGTACATACAGGAGGGCCCCTCTTATACAGCAGGTTAGGTTCTGAACTGCTGCTGGAAAGCGAAAAGTGCTGTAAAGTGAAACATAGCCTTTTTTACTTTCAAATGCACATAAAAGCCTGATAACATGTTTACACTAACATAGTATATTAAGAGAGCAATAGACAAAGGCCTAAAAAAATGCACATACAGTACACACATTACTGGCCTTAAAATATTTTTGTACTTAGCTTATAGTGAGTGGTGAATATAATTATTGTAGAAAGTCTGAATAAATGAAGAATGGGTATAACTGAAAATTGCTAAATTGGTGAAACGCTGTAAAGCAGGGCCCTCCTTTAAATCATAAGTAAGAAAATTACAAGGCAACTTATCGCACCTGCAGGAAAGCACTCAAAAAGTTAGCCAGACGAAGTGCCATCCTCGCTTCATTCTCAAACTGCTTCTCCATGCCAAAACCAATGTCACCTTGCAGTACTAGATCATCTGGAGGGAACATCTGACAGTTTTCTGGAGTGACAGATTTAAGAAACTCTATGACTTCCTCCACGTTAATATTACTTGTCCTGGCTGCAGCAGGTCCTGTCACATTGTAATAATCTCTGGCAAGGTACAACTGACGTTCATATTCATCCATCTTGTTGTAGTCAAATGGTAGCTTTTGGATCCCTGGAAATAAAGAAAAACATTAAATCTTGATGTTACACTTGCCTTTAATGAAAAAGAATGACCTGCAGAAAGATGTTACACACTAGAAAAAAAAAACATTTCTTTGCAAAGGTTACAATATGTGCTTACATTTCATAATCTGACTGGTACGAAGAAAGTACAGTGTCTGCATTCTGAAGATTGCATGGGAATGTTCCAGCTTAGAGGGTCATTTCAATTGTAATGTCCATAAACTGTTGATAAAACAGCTACTGAACAAGCAATAGGGAATGTATCCTTGTCACTCTAACTTGGTCAGAATAGGAGATGTGGTAAAAAACAAAGTTTAAGGCACATTTAATGCATTTCACATTCAACTGATCTTTCCTAACATACAGTACATCAAGTAGAGTACAAGTACACTGTGAAATTATCTTAACATGATTGAAATATTATAAGAAAAATAGAATGGAAAAGGGTGACTGATAAAGTGAGCAAGTGTTTCAGCAAGCAAGCTGTAGTGAAGGCAAACCAACACTGTTATTGAGGCTGGCTGCCAACACACCCTTGCTTGTTACCCAACACTGTCACTGAGGCTGGCTCCCATCACATCCTTGCTTGTTACCCAACACTGTCACTGAGGCTGGCTCCTATCACACCCTTGCTTGTTACCCAACACTGTCACTGAGGCTGGCTGCCATCACATCCTTGCTGTTACCCAACACTGTCACTGAAGCTGGCTGCTATCACATCCTTGCTTGTTACCCAACACTGTCACTGAGGCTGGCTGCCATCACATCCTTGCTTGTTACCCAACACTGTCACTGAGGCTGGCTGCCATCACATCCTTGCTTGTTACCCAACACTGTCACTGAGGCTGGCTGCCATCACACCCTTGCTTGTTACTCAACATTGTCACTGAGGCTGGCTGCCATCACACCCTTGCTCGTTACCCAACACTGTCACTGAAGCTGGCTGCTATCACACCTTTGCTTGTTACCCAACACTGTCATTGAGGCTGGCTGCCATCACACCCTTGCTTGTTACCCAACACTGTCACTGAGGGTATTGGTGGAAGGAGAAGCTCCTTCCAACTGTTGCCACTTTACAAAAGAACAAATCTAGGCACATCTCCATTCATTTACTTCTCTTATCCACAAAAAACAACAGTCTTTCCCGTTCTATGAAAATTTCCGACTTTTCTTTTCATACAGGTAAGTACAAATAGTAAGTGCATCTGTCTGGTGCTCAGCATAAGGAAGATCAAGCCTCCACCAATCAAGAACTGTATGACCCACAAAGGTTTAGTGCTAAACAAAATTTTTTCTGCCTTTTTTTTTTTTACTAGCCACTATAATTTTTTTTTCATCGACCAGGCCATATCCCACCGAGGCAGAGTGACCTAAAAAGAAAACCTGAAGTTCCTCTTTTTAAATTTAGCAATGTATACAGGAGAAAGGGTTACTAGCCTCTTGCTCCTGGCAGTACTCTGAATAACAGTAAATCTTCTATTTTTTGTATGAATAAAAATTCAATATGAAAAGCAAGCGTAATATAAGAGGGGCCTGGAGATGTGATTAATGAACAGATAAAATGTTATTTTAGTGCCAGGAATGTCTGCACTGTTTATTCTAGACCCTATTTTGAAATTGGCTTTTCTTGAATTTTGTGTGAAATTGGCCAAATTAGTAAATTCAGATCACTTTATTGGGTAGTTAAAATAGGTAAATGGGCAGTTTCTTGTACTCAATTGATAGAATTAAAAGTTCTAGCGAAATAGCCATGAGTTTGGTAGACTGAAACAATGGAATTGGCCCAAAATAGGGCACGAAGTGGGCAAAATTGCCAATGTGTAAATACTGCCAAGACAGCTAGCTTTGCAATAGTGTAATTTCACAAGTTTTCCATCAAATTTCGTACTTTTGGCTTCTTTACCCTAGGAAAAAGATTCTCTATCATTTCATAAGATTTTTTTTTTTTAAATTCTTCAACCGTGGGCGCGTTGTCCCTCGACAACAAGAGCATGTACGAAAACCAGGACGTACTTTTCTCAAATTCCTCGTTCAAAAACTGATTTGTTTTACAACTAGTGCAGCAGATAACCGAGGTTTCACTGTATTACAGCTTGGAGGAGCATCCAAGCTGTAAAGACAGCATATGTCTGGCATGAGAGTGACAGTGATGGTGAATGTGTTACTTCTGTTTTGGGTCACTACCTCAGAGGGAGACACCAGGTGTTAAAAGAAAAAAAAAATCACAAAATAGAGCAACCAAGCCTTTATAGGTCATGCAGCACAGACAAATCAAATACAGTGGACCCCCACATAACGTTGGCATCGCATAGTGTTAAATCCGCATAGTGATACATTTTATCGCTAAAATTTTGCCTCCCATAGTGTTAAAAAATTCGCTCAACGCGATTCGTCCGAGACGCGTGCATGCGGCCTGAGCCAGCCTCACTTGTTCTGCCAGGGGCATTGTTTACAAGCCAGCCTCCGCGGTAACATTCAAGCATACAATCAGAACATTTCGTATTATTACAGCCTTGTTATAGTGATTTCACCTGAAAAATAAGTGACCATGGGCCCCAAGAAAGCTTCTAGTGCTAACCCTGTGGTAAAAAGGGTGAGAAATACTATCATACCACAGTCAGCTGCTGCTGCACCATGGTCAGCTGTTGCTGGACCAGTCAGCTGTTGCTGGATCAGTCAGCTGCTGCTGCACCACGATCAGCTGTTGCTGGACCAGTCAGCTGTTGCTGGATCAGTCAGCTGCTGCTGCACCACGATCAGCTGTTGCTGGACCAGTCAGCTGTTGCTGGATCAGTCAGCTGCTGCTGCACCATGATCAGCTGTTGCTGGACCAGTCAGCTGTTGCTGGATCAGTCAGCTGTTGCTGGACCAGTCAGCTGTTGCTGGATCAGTCAGCTGCTGCTGCACCACGATCAGCTGTTGCTGGACCAGTCAGCTGTTGCTGGATCAGTCAGCTGCTGCTGCACACACGATCAGCTGTTGCTGAGCCAGTCAGCTGTTGCTGGATCAGTCAGCTGCTGCTGCACCATGTTCAGCTGTTGCTGGACCAGTCAGCTGTTGCTGGATCAGTCAGCTGTTGCTGGACCAGTCAGCTGTTGCTGGATCAGTCAGCTGCTGCTACACCACATTCAGCTGTTGCTGGACCAGTCAGCTATTGCTGGATCAGTCAGCTGTTGCTGGATCAGTCAGCTGTTGCTGGACCATGTCAGCTGTTGCTGGATCAGTCAGCTGTTGCTGGATCAGTCAGCTGCTGCTGCACCACGGTCAGCTGCTGTTGCACCACCATCAGCTGTTTCTGAACATGACTCGTCCCGAACCTGTATGTCCAGCCTGAGCGCCTGCCGTGCTGTCACTGTTTACAAGCCAGGGTGGCCAGTTGCATGCATACATTTGATACATTTTGTATTATTCCATTATTTATAGTGCTTGTAACTGCTAAATAAGCCACCATGGGCCCAAAGAAAGCTTCTAGTGCCAACCCTGTGGTAAAATGGGTTTTAAATACTATCGTACCACAGTCAGCTGCTGCTGCACCACGGTCAGCTGTTATTGGACCAGTCAGATGTTGCTGCACCACAGCTGCTGCTGCACCATGGTCAGCTGTTGCTGCACCACAGTCAGCTGTTGTTGTTGCTGCACCACCATCAGCTGTATTACTCGAAGATGTGGAGAGAGTGTTGTTGGTGTGGCTTAACGTGAAACAATTACCGAGAAACGATTAACCCCAGAGGGTTAGCCACCCAGGATAACCCAAGAAAGTCAGTGCATCATCGAGGACTGTCTAACTTATTTCCATTGGGGTCCTTAATCTTGTCCCCCAGGATGCGACCCACAACAGTTGACTAACATCCAGGTGAACAGGAAAAAATGCCTGGAACTAGTGCTCATATTGGTGAGGTTAGTGGGGAGGATGTGGAAGAGTTGGTGGAGGAGGACAATGAAGAACTAACCACTGATGAGCTGCTAGATCATCTTCAACAGTAAGAGGCCACACCTGAGGAAACTGCTCTGGAGGAGGGGATAGAGAAATTGAAGAAGTTGCCTACTTCAAAGATTAAGGAAATGTGTGCAAATGGCTTTAAAGGCAAACCCCTTTTTTATGAAAAAAACCCTCACAGCATTTCAACGTGCTGGTGACATTATACTGCAATGTGT